CTTAACCTCACTATCTCACTGCATTTCAAACATCTTAGGCATAATAAGGAACAGGTATTTTTCATCAAGTATTGATATGTTGCCTAAATGACCTTATGATGAGAATCTTAAAATTAAAATGTTTGTTATTATAGTAGGCTATTGGGTAGTCATTAATTTCTAACTGGTTGTAATGATGCATGCCTGTAATCCTAGCACTAGAAAGGCTGAGGCAGGAGGATTGTTGTGGGGTACATTGTGAGTTTATGGCCAGCTAGGACTATATAGCAATACCCTATCCCAAAAATTTTTTAAAATATATTTGATAAAACAGTAAACATTATAATACAGTATGAAGTAAAAAGCAGTATAATTCCAGTTTAACATGCAAGCCTATATTACTATATGTGCATAGAAAAAATGATATGGAAATACATGAATATGTCAAAATGTCCATAATGTTTCCTCTAAAATTCACACAGATAGTTTTGACTAACTCTGCAGATGTGTAGGGTTAGTACTCACATTCCAACAAAGCATGTTACTGAGCCCTGTGTTTAACTTTTGAGAGGAAAGTATGGGGTGTGTAGGAAATAATTTTGAGATAGTCAGGTTTTCTTAAAGTTTTCAGGTTTTCTAGAGTTTCAGGTAATTACTACATTATCATGCCCTATACAGAAATAGTTGTTTTTTTTTTTAAGTCATTTTATGTAGTATGTAGTACTAAGCTAGGGTGTCCTTTTCTTTTAGTAAGAATTGATGCTTGTTAATTTAATATTTATAAAAAGAATATGACATTTATTCACTACCTCTTTTTTGCTAGATACTTTATTTATTTAATGGTTGTAGTTTTCAAAATAGTATAATCATGGGCCAGAGGAAGTAGCTCAGAGGACAAAGTACCTGCTTTGACTAGTGCAGGGACCAGGGTTTGATCCCCGGTCCTGCATGCCAACCCCCTGCCCCCAGCATGCTGAGCTGGGGACAGAGTCCGGGTGTGGTGGTGCACACCCGTAATCCCAGCACTGGGGAGTCTGAAAACAGGAGGATCATATGAGATGGATCTGTGTAGTGAGACCTTGTACCAAATACACAAATGCAAAGAAAAAAGGGGAAAAAAAAGTACAATCATTATAAAATATGCAAACAATGCAGAATTGTCAGTTCCATCCTACTCTAAATATAACCACTGTCACCAGTGTGGTCTGTATTTTCTAGACTTTTTTTCCTATGCATTTAACAAGAATATATATATATATATATATATATATATATATATATATAGTATAGTTTGGTGTGTTCCATAACCAAGATAATACTGTATTTTTTGCTGTTTATCTTATCCTTTTTTCCATAATAAATTATGAATATTGTCCATGTGAATACATATACATTTACTTTTTTTTTTCCTCAGTACTGAGGATTATATTCTGAAGTGCTCTACCACTGAGCTACATCCTCAAGCCTTTTTATTTTTTATTGTGAGACACTCTTGCTAATTTTTCCAGGCTGGCCTTTTGTTTTTGGCGGAACCGGGGATTGAACTCAGGCCCTTGCACTTGTCAGGGAAGTGCTTATTCCATTGAGCCATCTCCCTGACCCCACCAGGCTGGCATTGAACTAGTGATTCTCTTTCCTTCATCTGTCAGCTATTTGGGATTATAGGCATGGAGCATCACATCTGACTTTCTTCTGTTAAGTGTGTACAATTTTTATTTTTTTGGCCGGCTCAGCCCTCCCTGAGGGCAGGGCTGGCGTGGCATGTGGTGCTGGGGATTCAACCCAATTGCGGTCCCCTGCAGCTGCCTAAGCTTGCTTAAGCAGGTGCTTTCGACTGCTGAACTATCTCAATGGCCCTGTTGTATACACTTTTAATTTATACTTTACTCTCTATGCTTTATACTATACAAGAAGTAGTATAGTTGAGTAGTTGTCAAGAGTATGCTTGTATAAAGCAGAAGGGAAAATTATTTAGGAGGTTTTTCCCAAAAGGAGATTCAGCATTTTCTCAGATATCTCTAAGGATAACCTTGAGCTCATTTCATCTGTTTTTCTGTTTCTCTGTTCAGTGTATTCTCTGTACTGTGTACTGTTGCTGCTCCCATTCTCAAAGTAATTCCTACGTGATTCTCAGAATCGTTTAGCAACCATTTTCATTTATAGAATTAAAGGCTAGCAGCTGACAAAAACAAAAAGAATGAATGGCTATTGTTGTATTTAACTTCTTTAATTTCCCTTCCAAATTTGTACCCCGTATTATAATCTTATACTATACTTTTCACTCTGGTAGAGAAGAAGAAAAAAGAAAAGAGGATAAAAAAAGAACAGAAGAAAGAGGAATATTTTGGAATGCTTTGAGAGTGTCTTATACTTTCTGATGCCTGTATATCCTATATGTGCTGAAAAGAGGAGTCTTGTGTTTTCCTAAGGGTATATAATGTTATATTGGATTTTACAAGCTTCAAGTAGAGAATTGTTCTGTAATCATACAAATTTTTGCTGAATGAAATCAGTCCTTCAGTACTTAACATGACCTTCTTGTCATAGAAGTATGTCCAGTTTATTTTTCAAACTGGAAATTTCCTTATATTAAAAAATGGTGCATATAATATATCCTCATAGCAGAGCGTGGCGGCTTATATCCCTATATGCACCCCTTATATATCCCTGTAATCCCTGCACTCTAGGAGACTGAAGCAGAAGGATCACAAATTTGAGCTCAACCTGGACAACTTAGATTGCATCTCAAAATCAAATAAAAAAATTAAGAAAGATAATATGTATTCATAATAATAATGACAAAATCACCAAATTTTATAAAAGAGAAAACAAAAGTAATTACAATATATAGAACTAACCATTGTTACTATTTTTTATGAGTTTCTAGACTTTAAAAAAAATACAAGTATGAATACCGTACTGGTCTGTAAACCACTTTATTGTGTACTGCAGCTTACTTAATCATTTCCTTTTATGAACAGTTCTTTTCCAGTATATGATATTATAAATAATCTACACATAGAATTTAAAGTTTTAATAAAATAGTCATAGAATTTTCAATGTTGAAATTTATTATTTAATAACTTTGAATAGTGTATTTTAGATAATGAAAAATATAAGGACTTTTATAAATTATAGAGAATTTTAATTTTTTAAAATTATGTTTGTACCCTAGTGATTTAAAAAAAAAACTTAAAAGAATTTAAAAAATAAAATTGTGATCTTGTAATAGTAGAAGGTATAATTGTTTTACTTCTGTTTGATGAAAGTAAAATCTTATTATCATTTAGATGCCACCTGTAACAGCAAGACCTGGTTCTCGTGGTGGTCCCTTGGGGACTGGTGGAATTTTATCACCTCAAATCAGAGTTGCTGATCGTCCTGTTACACAGCAAGGTTTAAGTGGAATGAAAACTGGGATGAAAGGTATCTATAGAGGTGAATGTATTGTAACAAATGGCAAATAAATACATGAAAATATGTTCAACATCTATGGTCATTCAAGAGATACAAATTAAATTAACACTGAGATTCCATCTCCAGAAAGAATGGCTATCATCAGGAAATCAACCAGTAACAAATGCTGCAGGGGGTTGGGGAAAAAGGAGCCCTTCTCTGTTGGTGGGGGTGTAGACTGGTAGAGCCACTGTGGAATCTGTGTGAAGGTTCTTCAGAAAACTAGGTCCAATAGGATTGGACAGAGGTATTCCCCGTTGGACTGAAGACACCCCTTGGGTGTCTTCCCAGAATTCAGAACATAATATTACAGCGATATATGTGCACCCATGTTTATAGCAGCACAATTTGTATTGGCTAAATCTTGGAAACAACCCAAATGCTCTCAACTGAGGAATAGATAAAAAGGTGTGATTTTTTTATACAATTGGAAAAACAAAAACAAAAACAAAAAACAGTTGGAGTACTACCCAACCATAAACAAGGATAAATTTGAAACTTATAGCTAAATGGATGCAACTTGCCATACTCATAAGTGCAGTAAATCAGACTCGTGTACACGTTTTGTTGTTTTTCTAGTGTTAGAAACTGAAATAATAAGTTCTAAAATATACAATAGATATTGTGAAATAGAAATTGTTTAAAACGAAAGAGAAACTCAGGGGAAGAGGAAAGAACAGTAAGGAAAAGGAAAAAAATGCAAGTTAGTTATACTTTTAGTATCTCTGAGTTCATTAAAAAGGAAGTTTTGTGCTTTATCAATTGGAGAAATTTTTATGTCCATATCTTGTATCCTGAGCAACTACTTTAAAGATAACATCATGTAATGATTTAACTATTGTTATCCTCCTATTATTATTATTATTATTATTTTATTTTTGGCGGAACCGGGGATTGAACTCAGATCCTGGTGTTTGCCCGTCAAGCACTTATCCTACTGAGCCATCTCCCCAGCCCATATCCTATTATTTTGTTATAAAATGTTTTCCTTTTTATCCCATAAAATAAAAAGAGAAAAAAAAATGAGTGTATTTTGTTTCAAAAGTATTAAAGTTCTGTATTACTAAGTCAATTACAACATGTAGTTCTTCCTCACTGACTTAGAAAATTGTTATAACAGAATGAGCATGAAAATGCATTGTGACCTAGAAAGTCAGATGTATGTGTGCCATTTTGATTTTCATTTTTCTGAATGTGGAACTTTTTTAATAACTTAAAGAAATTTGAAATAATTTGAAGAAAAATACAGACTTAAAATTAGACTTACACTGTCTAGAAATACTATAAAATATTTTTGATGGTTTTCTTATCAAAATGATACTATGACATATGTATATTAATGAAAACAGTAAAAATACTTTTTAAGCAATTAATATTCAGTTATAAAACTAAAGGGTAGAAATGAGGCTGACATGTGGATCTATAGTGAATCTCACTTTAGGCCTCTATTTAGAAAGGCATCATAAGCCACTCTATGTTTTTTGTTTTTTTTTTGGCGGAACTGGGGATTGAACTCCGACCCCTATGTTATAATTAATAAATTTGATTTGTGATATATATTAGCCAAAGCTTGCTAAACTTTTTAATAAAGAATTTTTATTTTCTTTATATGTGACAAATGATTTATTAAGACCAAAGAGATTTTATTGGTGTAAAATTTAAGATATCCTACTACAGTGGCCCTTTGTTTCCATAATTTATACTTCGGCAGATTTAGTACCTGCAGATCAAAAATAGAAAAAAAAATCTCTATATACTGAACATGTATAGACTTTCTTGTCATTTTCTAAGTAATATAGTAAAATAGCTATTTATAGATCATTGTATTAGATATGATAGACTAGAAATAATTTAAAATGTATGTGATAATGTGCATGTACTATACACAAACATTATGCCATCTTATGTAAGGATTTTGAATAGCACAGGATTTTGACATCCTTATGGGAGTTTTGAAGCTGTCTACTTCAGACACTGAGACAACTACGTTTTTTATAATGTAGTAAGTCATGCTTTTCGGGAGACTTAAATTTTCTCTTTTCCTTTTCCTTTTCTCCTCTCTCTCCTTTCCTTTCCTTTTTTTCTTTGTGTGGTGGTGAGGATTGAATCCAGAGTCTTCCCACTAAGCTACATCCCCAACCCTTCTTTATTGTTTATTTTGAGGCAGAGTCTCACTAAGTCACTGAGCATGCAGTCTGGCCTTGAACCTGTAGTCCTTCTGCCTCAGCCCCTTAGAGTGCAAAGATTACAAGTGTATGCTACCACACCTGGCTTAAGTTTTCTTACAATACCAGTTAGTTCACTAAACATTAAAAACCAGCTGATTCTTTTAGACAGGTTTAGTTAATAATTATCAGCACTGTTAAATGAGTCAGAATTGTGTAATCTCTTAGCTAGTCTTAACATTCACAGACATGTCTAACATTATTTAAAAACACTAAGGTAGAAGTATACTAAAATTTAATGGAGGATTCATCACACATTTCTTGCAGTGTAGTTTATCCTTCAGAACAGAACCAATGTCATATAAAACTGTTAGTGTCTACCAGCATACTTGAAAGGCTTGCAGTTCTGTTAAGCATGCACCCGTCTGATGTGCCTTCAGGTCTTACTGGGCTGTTGTCCCATTTCCTGTTACAGTAAGTTGTTACTTACTCGTCTCTTCTCAGCATGGACCTCATGGGCAGTACTCCTGGGCCTCACTTCTCCTACTTTGCAGGACATTTCGTCTCTTGCCAGCTTTCGGACATTTAACCTAGGAGGACTTTCTTGGACCTACTGAAATGTAGAATTGTTTTTTAAAAACATTCTGAAGGCTGAGAATTTAGCTCTGTGGTAGAACCAAGCACTTGACCAGCACTCGTGAGACCCTCAGGTCGGTCAGTCGGTCGGTCGGTCGGTCGGTCTGTCTCTCTCTCTGTCTCTCTCTCTGTCTCTCTCTCTGTCTCTGTCTCTCTCTCTCTCTCTCTCTCTCTCTCACACACACACACACACACACACACACAGACACCCAGTGCACACATATGCACACACACACTCTCCTGAGACAAATTTGAAAGCTTACAGTCTTACAGTCTCCTGTCACATTGAGAAATATTTGCACTCTCCAATAAGATAGCCAATAGTTGCTTATACTTACTCAAATCTAAATTAACTAAAATTAAGTAAAATAAAAATTCATTTCCCTAGTAACATGAGGCAAATTTTAAGTGCTCAATAGTCCCATGTGTATGCTTTCTTGGATAATGCTAGTATGTTTTGTTGCATAGTTCTTTTGGACAGCTTTGCTGTAGGCTTCTGTAGACCCATGTTTCTATTCAGTCTGTTCTCTTAACAGCCTATCTTTAAGTCCTATCTTTGTGGTCTATTTTTTGTTGGTTTGGTTTGTTTAGTGGTAATTGGGATTGAATCCAGGCTTCACACTGAGCTATCCACCTCTCTCTTTTCTCTTTTTTCTTTTCCTTTTCTTTTTCCATTTCTCCTCTCCCCTCCCCTCCCCTCTTCTCTCCTCTCCTGTCATCTGTGTCCCTTCTGTCCTCCCCTCCCCTCACTTCTCCTCTTTTTCTTTTTCCTTCCCTTTTGAGACAGGATTTTACTAACTCAGTTAGTTGCCCAGACTGGGCTTGTGATCTTCTTCAGCCTCTGAGGGTACTGTGATTACAGGTATGTACTGTTGTACTCAGCTCCGTATTTGTGATCTTGGTTCAAGCTTCTTTTATATCATGATTCTAAGCTGTTAGTTTTCTGTTCATTTCAGTGATTTTTGATATAATGGTACATTCATGATGACTGACAGAATTGTAAATGTACTTCTGGTTGTACTTTGGATTTGGGTTTGCTGTTTTAAAACAGAACCATTAAGCCATTAAAAAACTTTTTTTTTTTTTTTTAGGTCCCCAGAGGCAAATTTTAGATAAATCTTATTATCTTGGACTTCTTCGGTATGTTAAATAAACATGTCTTTTTATTCATGATCATTAAAATTTGGCTGTGATGATTTTTACAATAACTACATGTCTTTTTTATTAATTAAATTTATTGGTATATTTTAAACATACATAGGGAGCACTTTCATCATAGGGACTTTACCTACATCTGCCTATTCTTAATTCCTTTTCTTTCCTCTAAGAATTAGTTTGTATTATAACATAATTTCTTATTAATTTGGGTATACTAAAAAGGTAGGTATGATAATAGAATTAGACTGAGATTTTAAACTGTATGTATTTGCATGTATGTCAGCTCTACATTTTGTCTGTCTATGCTACTATTAACAAAATATGAGAGATTAGTTAGTTTATATATTACAGAAATTTGTTTCTCATCCTCATGGAAGTTGGGAAATCTAGGATCAAAGTGCGAGCAGGTCTGCTGCCAGAAGAGGGCCTTTCTCTTTCGTGGCACCATGTGGTATGTCATATGACGGATGTGCAGGAAGGGGCCGACCCAGTTTCCTGCAGCCTTGCCATAAGGCGCTAACCCGTCTGTGGGAGTAGCATCTTCATGGCCTCCTCACCGCCTAAGGCTCCAGCTCGTAATGCTGTTGAATGGTATTCAGTTTCGTTATGAAGTTTGGAGGGCACACAAACATTCAAACTGCAACATGTTTGTAGTTCACTTTTTCTATAGAGTGGTAAAAGTAACTTTCTGTGGCTTTTGCTTTGTTATTTTAAATATATTCATAGTATTGAAATGTCACCAATTATACTTAATATTTATCTATAGGTATATGTTTGGTCACTGCCTATATGTATGGTCTAATTTTAAGGAATTCTTATGTCTTTAATTATACATGTCTAAATTCAGACTTTTTCTGTCTTCTCTCTGCCTTTGCTCAGGTGTGCAACTGTCCTAACTCCTTTTTCTCATTTTACTTTATTCTTGACTTGTTGTCTGTGTTATCTTTTTCTCTTCTATCTCTGAATCCATCCTTTCATTGTGCCCAACACAGCCTTATTATTTTCCTTTTTAGTACCCCTTGGTTTTGTTTATCAACTACATGGATCCTTTTGATCCTCAAACCCTTGGAAGGCAATAAAGGAAAGAGTAGGTTTCTCCCATTTGTCCTCAAAGCTAGGATAATAAGAAGGATAGTAACCACCATCGCATGTATAATATCTGATATTCAGTCACTTTTAATCAAAAGATGGAAAGGAAATAACACAAGTGCCAACCACTACATTGCTTCTTTTCTCTAGGATTTATGCTTCTACATCAAAGCATAGTTCTATTTGAATGTTTGGCTTAGAAGAGTGCTCAGTACTCCTCTGGGAACATTGGGAAATTTCTGAACATATTTTGGGGTGTCAGAACTGGAGTTATGGGGCTGGGGAGATAGCTCAGTTGTCTAAGTGCCTGCCTGGCAAGCACACTGTCTTGAGCTCAATCCCTGTACCACATGCTGTGCCAGCCCCAGAACTCTGGGCATGTAATGCCTGCCACTGACAACCAGGTATGGTGGTGTGTGTCTGTAATCTCAGCTCTGGGGAGGCTGAGACAGGAGGATTTCTATGAGTCTGAGTCGTGTAGCGAGACTCTGTACCAAATAGATAAATAAAAAAGATTAAATGTTTAAAAAAAGAACTGGAATTTTGGGGAGATGCTACTGGCATCCTTATCATGGATGCTGTAAAACGGATGTACTAGATAGCCTCCCACCACAAAATTAGTCATTGCCCTGGAATGTCAGTGGTGTTACTATTAAGAACTTGTAGCAAGACAACAGTTAGGCATCTATACCTGTATGTGGATTCTGACAGGTTAACCAGCCATCCATTCTAATTCCATCTCGTCTTTACTAGAGAATCTCTCATCAGTTTTTCATATGTTAAGTAGAACAGGATGGCTATTTCTTAACCTTGATCAAATAAATCAGTGATACGTGTTTTTTTTTTTAAGAATGAAATTCACAAAACCCATTTATATTGCTGTTTCACATTTATGATAAGTTTAGTTAAAAAGGGTTTTCTGGGTTAGAAGTATTGCTAACTTTCTTTTTACTTTTCATTTAGAAGTAAAATAAGTGAACTTACCACTGAAATTAATAAACTTCAGAAAGAAATAGAAATGCACAATCAAGAGAATTCAGTGTATTTGTCATATGAAAAGAGGTAAGTTTGCAGTTTTAAGAAATGTATTTGTACTACTGAATATTAATTCAGTATACATTGAGTATTATAGGATGAGAATACTGAATTTATAGTTACCTATGTTCAGAATATTCATCATATTTATATATTTATAAATTGACTTGTTTATTTATTTGGTAACAAATGGATTTATTTTGTTCATAGAGCAGAGACTTTAGCTGTTGAAATCAAAGAGTCTCAAGGACAGCTAGCAGACTACAACATGGTAATGTCTCTTTTCTGAGAGAATGTTCTTAAAATAATTTTATTGCTTCTTACTACCTAAAAATTTATGGTTTTAAATGTCAAGTAAGACATGAATATATGCTTTTTGTGAAAGATTGCAACTATAAAAAGTGCAAAGAACAACACACTTCTTTCCTTTATACATCTCTCCCCAGAAATATCTTGGCTTAACAGATCATTGTGTATTATTTCAGTATTTTAAAATAATAAATTTACTTATATCTTAGATACTGTGTCAGTGGAACACAATACTTGACACCAACCAATTAAAGGAGGAAAGGTTTATTTTGGTTCATAATTTTTAGAAGTTTCAGTCTGTCATTGACTGGTCTGAGGCGGGCAGCCTGGCAGAGAGTCCTGGAGGCAGAGAGCTACTCTTGGAGTGGCACACAGGAAGCAGAGGCAGCCAGAGGAGGCTGTGGGAAGGGAGAGACACCCTCCCAGGCCACACCCACTGTGACCTACCTTCCAGTGGCAGGCCAGGTATAAGCCTCCATCAATCAATCACATTCCAAAAGCTCTGCCTGAGGGGACAGCTAGACATAAACCACAGCAGCTTACAGATACAAACACACACATGCCTTCCACTCTAACAGTATTAAAATAATACTTTAAAAACAGGTAGAATTTATTGGGTGCTAATAATGCAGTTTCTTTTTTTGTTTTTGAGAGTGGGTCTCTCACTATGTAGTTTAGGCTCGCCTGGAACTCACTGTAGCAAGGCTGACTTGAAACTCACAGCAATCCTCCTGCCTCAGCCTCTGAAGTGCTGGGATTACAGGTGTGCACCACCACACCTGGCAATGCTGTTGCTTTAAAGACATATTTTTACCTTTATAGAGCATTACCATCATTAAGTTAAAAAAAAAAAAACCTTTTCTATTTTTCACACATGTATAGTGTCTCTCCCTCTGTGTGTGTCTTTTGTGTGAGTATTGTATCAGAGATATTTTTCGCGCGGGGTTGCTTGTGTGTGTTTTCTTTAGGAGGGATGGTTGGTGCCTGCGTCGTTTGTTTGGGTGCTTTGGCTTGCATGGTTTTTTTTTGTGTCGTTTTTTTTCTTTCTTGTTTGTTGGTTTCTTTAGGGGTGGTTTGTGTCTTTATTTAATGTGACTGATGTTTGTTTCTCTTTTTCTCATAAGAATGATTAGGTAAATTATGAAACACTTACTTGATACTGTTATATTATGCTTACTAATAAAATTTTTTTGATTATAGTATATTGTAATTGCTAAAGTTGCTGAATCATAAACCTATAATAAACATTTTTTGGAACCTAATAGTTGGTGGGACTTCTTTATTAGTAAATGGTGTGTTCTATTCCAAATATGAGAAAAATAGTTTTTTGTTTTTTTTTTTAAAGTTTATTTATTTATTTATTTTGTGTGTGTGTGTGTGTGTGTGTGTGTGGCCAGCTCAGCCCACCAGGGGGCGGGGCTGGCTGGCATGTGGTGCTGGGGGATTGAACCGTGGTCCCTGTGCTTTGCTAAGCTTGTTCTAAGTAGGTGCTTTAGACCACTGAGCCATCTCACCAGCCCCGAGAAAAATAGTTTTATAAGATATGACACAGGATGAAAAAGATTTTTTAGTTTTAATGAAGTATATTAAGTAAAGTACTTAAGAGAAGCATGAAATCATGTAGGATATGCTGTTTTAAGTTGAATACATCGTAAGTAGAATGTACCTAAGTACCTGATGTGCAGTTAGTATTAAATAAATGTTAGGTCTTCAACTTTTAGTTTTTTGAGGAAGGATTTCATTATGTAGTTGAGGCTGGCCTTGAACTCACTGTGAGGTCTGAGCTGGCCTCCAGTTTGCAGCCTCAGTGTCCCAAGTGCTGCGATTATAAATGTTAGGTCTTACTAGCACTTATTTATATCACAAATAAAAAAATGTGATGTATACTAATATATATTAATAAAATTAAACTTTTAGTATCAATTACACCTAAATAATTTGCTTTTAACTGCTAAATAGTGACCACTGGTTCAAACTATGATTCCACTAGTTCCTAAATTTATTTTTCTGTTAAATGTAGACATAATTTTTAGTGAATGAGTTAATGCATATATCAGACTCTGAACAGCATCTGTTAACTGTTGGTGTCATTGCCTTTTTGAGTAGGCTTCCTTGTGTGCTGTCTGTTGTGCCTTGCCACACTGATTGGTTTTTTTAAAGCAGTGACAAGTTTAGTTGAAAAAGTAAAAGTGAAGAGTGAGGAAGAAACTGGCCCTACAGAGCAAACTTGGGCTAAGTGAAAGAGGAGAAAGCAGGATGAAAGAACCCTGGAGGAAGCAGGGGTAACCTGAGGAAAGCCATAATAGCTCGATTTGTTGTTGTTGTAGAAAGTTTCACATTTTCACAGTGTAGGTTTGTAAATCTGCTAACATACTTTTTCCTTGCAGGTAAAGATGAACAAGAAACATTTTCTAGACCTTTGTAGGTGTAGCCATTTTTTTTTTTTTTTGAAGGAGGTAAAGCTCTTCAAGATGAGCTCTGTGGTGTTTTATTAGTGACCACTTTTTTTTTTTCTTGTCTTTTGATACTGGTGATTGAACATAGAGTCTTTGCACTGAGCTTCATTCCTAGCACTTTTCGAAATTGTTAATTTTTCAGAGAGTCTCACTAAGTTGCTAACTTGCCCAGGCTGGTCTTGATCTTCCAGAGTGCTGGGATTATAGGCATGCGCTAACATGCCCATTGCTTACTGTCCCACACTAAAATATGAACTCGTTATTGGACAGATACACTGTACTATATATGCTTACTTGGGTGGCTTAACATTTCTTTTCCCTTTAAAAGATAAGACAGAAATGATACATTACTTCTCATTATTCATGAGATCGAATACTTGTATTATGAATTATATAGAAGCTTAACACTAATGAGATTTTTTAATATTTTTGTTTGTAGTTGGTAGACAAACTTAATACCAATACTGAAATGGAAGAAGTAATGAATGATTACAACATGGTAAGAAAATGTATAAATGTAAGCAGTAGATCTCTATAAAATCATATCCTCTAAAATAAAGAATGTATATGTAGCAATAGATTGATAAAATTTAATAAACCTTAGAGATGGATAAGTACTTGATCCTGGTATCATTGAGTTCTCTTAGTTGGTCTTAAGTTTTTCTGTTATGAGTGTATCTCTTAATTTGATATTGTAGTGTCTATGAATTTCTCTAAACTTGACTCATTTGCATTGAACATTAGAAAGTGCAATCTAAGTATTTGTTCCTATATATACTACATTAGTTAGTGATATTTCTGGTTAATTTTTGTACCTGGTTAATACTCAACGGTGATTAGTGGTACTAGTTCATAGTTTTATAACAAAGGGAGAAAAATGAATAAATGTGATACCCAGACATATTTTTTAAAAAATATTTTATTTATTTATTTTATTTATTTGGTACAGCGTCTCGCTACGCAGTTTGGACTCATAGTGATCCTTCTGTCTCAGCCTCCCTAGCACTGGGATTACAGGCATGCACCAGCATGCCTGGTTCCAGGGCTGACATGGCATATAGTACCAGGGATTGAACCTGGGTCCTTGAACTTACCAGGCAGGCGCTTAGACTGTTGAACTATCTCCCTGGCCCCCAGACATAATCTTAATTTTGAATGATAAATGAGAATTTGGCTTTCATATTCTCAGGTTACTTGGTACAAACAATAAAATGTGTTAATATCTAGCTTATTTTGATTAAAACATTTGGAGAAAATAGCATAACTCTTCATTTACATAATTTATAGTTTATATAATCAGAAACTGTCTGTGAAAAGTTTATAAAATGACCATTATAAATGTGGAGTTCTAAAACCTTGATAATTTATTATTTTTTATTTATTTATTTTTATTTGTTTATATTTTTTTCCATAATTTTATTGAGAAACAAATAGCAATGAGACAGTTTCAAACCAAATTGGTAGGACAGTTTCAATAATTAACACATTGCATACATTCTTCCTAGTGGTTAATTGCTGTACAAGATGCAGACTTGATATCCTATTTACAAACACCATTAGAATAAATCCCTCTATTCATTAAGAGAATGTAACTATGTATCTATCCTAACCACTTTGAATACACAGATACAAAATGAACATTCATCTGTATCCCCTTGTTTTGTTAAGTTCTGTTACTTGAATCTTATAGGTGTGTAAACTCAGCAAAATATTCTAAAAGAGTCCAGTAGCCCATAATAGTATTAGGTCTTCCGCATGACTGGCAATGTCAGAAATTGTTGACCTGACTGCCCTACAGCTCAACATAACAGCATGGCTTTACTTCTTATATTTTGTTTTTATACTTTTCTGCTGGATGGTTAAGACCAAGGTAAAGCAGGACCTATGCAACAAGAGTTGTAGCTTTGGGGTCTGATAAGGTCAGTGAAATCCCCTCAGGATTTATCCTGAGATCTTGTACCTCAGATTGTAGAACCTTTGTCAGTGTCAGCCATGTGGATGAGTCACGGCCATTGCTTGGCCAGTGTGCTTTCTGGAAAAGCCTGAGAAAATATTTTCTCTCCATGTGACTCTCCTTAGGCACACTCTACATCATTGATCACTTTCCTCTTTGGCCCCATAATCTCCTTGTTCAGAAAATTTGGGACACTACTGAGTTATATGACGTTACAGTGCAAGTTCTCATATGTCCTTAGTCTTAATTGACCTTGGAAGGCTAGGGCCAAAATGTTGGCTTTCCTTGCAGCCCTCCTTTTTCTCTAATTTTGGTCTGCAAACTTAGGTTTTTAACCATCCAGAAGACAAGCTTATTGTTATTACCATACACCCTAGGCTGTTAAGCTTAACCTCAGTCTCTGTCTGAATATCAAACATCTTAGGCATAACATGGAACAGGTATTTTTCATCAAGTATTGATATGTTGAACTTTAGGTCCCTATAGAATATGATGAAAAAACATTTAAAAACTAGAATATATTTTAAAAAATAGGCGTAAAGAATTATATACTTATGTTTACACATAAGTCCAAAAGTCTAACCATATACAACCTTGAAGCAGGACAGTCCCACAATATTCCTTTTCCTGTCTCTTGCCTCATTCACCACCAACCTTGATAATTTAGATTATTATTATTAGAATACAGGAGGATTCAGATATGAAAAATTATATTTCAATGCCAGAATAAAAACTGAAAAGATCATTATGTTTTGTTAGTTACTTACAACCAATTGGGAATACTCAGATAGATCCTGAATGTTTTATGATTAAAACTTGTGTTGGGTTTAAATTCAGCATATTGCAAGTCAGTTATTTATTGAGCACTCAATAAATTCTGAAACAATGTTTGTATAAATTAAGCTTATGTTGGATTGTTTGATAGACCACTAAGAGTGATGAATATTTTGGGTATGAGATCATGATACTTGTTAAAAAGACTTTTTAATCTAGTAGTGATCTTTGTAAATGAAACATTACCATATTGCTGTATTATTTTAATTGAATTTTTCATGTAGAATTAGTATTATAATACTCATTTAATTGATAACCGAAATAACATGTAAAGAAAGAGTTTGATGTCATGGTTGCTTCTTTATTACTAACTTTGGTGTTAATTCTTTATACAGCTAAAAGCTCAGAATGATCGAGAAACACAAAGTATGGATGTCATATTTACTGAAAGACAAGCGTAAGTTAAACTCACTTAAAAATCATACAGATTTGTAAGTGAGATTTATTATAGATATTTACAATAGATATTCACTGTTTGTACCTGTTATTTCACTGTACCACTGAATAGCTAAATTTTTTATACATAAAATTACTTTGTAGATTATAAAGTTTTTGCTTTTGGTACTTAAGATGAGTGAGAATGTTTTTATAATTCTCATTTATGATTATACTTATTTTTTCATTTTAATGAGAAAAAAGAAAATAGTAATGAAACAGTTTCAAAACAGGTTAGTAGGACAGTTACAATAATTAGCACATTGCATATTGTTGTCTTCATAGTAATTATTCAGAGGACAAGATGCAGACATGATAGCTTGTCTAGTACAAACTTTTTTTATAACTCTTACTTATGATTTTAACATAAGCCTTTAACTAATTTGAATTAATGCTATCGTAGAACCAGTCTAATGAAAGACACTGTACTTAGTCACTTTACTATCACTAGAACAAAATATTTGATATCTGCATCTTAAAGGAGAAGAGTTTTTAATGAATTAAAATTTTTTTATGGGTACATATTTGTAGCACATACTGATTACATTCATGATGAGCAGCTGGTACTTGTACATAAGATGTCTTAATTTCTTCCCATTTTCAGAAGATCTCTGTTTCCCATTATATATCTTTTATTTTTCTCTTTAATTTACTTTGAGATTCTTGGAAAAGAGAAACCATGTGTGTCTGATTTATTTCATTTAATATTAGGTTCTCAAGGTATATCTGTTTTCCTACCAATGACTCATACTTATCCTTCGTTATGGCAGAATAGTGCTCTTTTGTGTGTAAATGCCAGACTTTCTTTATCCATCCGTCTGTGGATAGATATATAGGCCACTTCTAAGATTTAGCTATTAAGAGCTGTACTGCTGTAAACACAACTGTACATATATTATTTAATATTATGTCTTTAACTCCACCAGGATGATACCTAGTGTAGAAATACCTTGGTTAAATGGCATTTGTATTTGTAGATTTTTGATACATCCTTATGCTGATTTCCATAGTACTAGTACTAATTGACATTTCCACCAATATAGAAAGATTTCTTTTTCACCACAGCCTTTTGTAATTATTTAATTTATTGATTATAGTCATTATTTCTCAAGTAAAATGAACTCTCATTATTGTTTTAATTTGCCTGAAAGTGATGTTGAATATTTTTTCATGTATTTGTAGGTCGTTTATGGTTCTTCTGAGAAGTTATCTATTCATTTTAAAAATATATGCAGACAATATACATGTAGTTTATTTCTCACAACTTTCTTGACAAATGAATGCTATTCAAGAACATTCTGTATACACAGATAAGAAGCATATACAGTGTTTAATCGATGCACAACAAAATCTAGCAGAGTAAAAGAGTGCCTGTGAATGCTTGCTCACTGCACAGACTAAATTTCATCAGTTGTTCAAATAGTGATAAAAGTACAACCTTCTATGGATCTTGTTCAGACTACAAAAGAGGGAAATTGAATGATTTTTAGATTAAAGTTGCTTGTTCTTTAAATGAATTGTTTACTTCGAGGGATCTGATTTTTTGAGTCCTTTATATCATTTAGATATCAGTCCTCTGTCTAAAGAGCAGCTGGAAAACTTACTTCCTGATTCTTTAAGTTGTTTCTTCTCTCTGCTTATTGTTCTGTTTTCCTGTGCATAAAGTTATAATTTTTTTTTTTTTTTTGACACCAGGTCTTGCTGCGTAGTTCAGGCCAGCCTTGAACTAATTGCAATCCTCCTTCTTCAACTTCTATCTTATGTGTTGGGGTTGTAGATGTGTGTACCCATGCCCTGTACAAAATTTTTTTTTTCTTGGCAGAACCGGGGATTGAACTCAGGCCCTTGCACTTGCCAGGAAAGTGCTTATTCCACTGGGCCATCTCCCCGGCCCCCAAACTTTTTAACTTAGTATAATCTCATCTGTTTCTTCTTATGTTATTGCTTGTTCAAATTTGCTTCTGGTAAGAAAGTCCTTGCCTCACCTATGTCTTTCAGGAGTTTTACTTGTTTTATTGTCCAGCAGAATGTTTGTCTTTTAATTTTTAGATTTTTGATCCATTGTGACTTCAGTATATAGTGAGAAGTATGAAATTTGAAATCTGGGATTGTGAAGCCTTCTGCTTTGCTCTTGGTGTTCAGCGTTGCTTTTGCTGTTCTGGGTCTCTTCTGGTTTCATCTGAATTTTAGAATTCTTTTCTCTAGTTCTGTCAGGAATGTTGTTGGCATTTTGACTGGGATTGTGTTAAATCTCTAAATCAGTTTTGGGAGTGTGATCATTTTGACAGTATTGGTTTTGCCTGTGCAGGGACAAGGGATGGTTTTTGCATTCTCTGATGTCCTCTTCAGTTTCCTTTCTCAGAGAAATGTCTAATGGTTTTTGTTGAGAAGTCTTTTGCTTTTTTTAAATTTTGGTTAATTTAATTCCTAAGTATTTAATTTTTCTTGAAAGTATTCTGAATGATATTAAGTATTCTTAATTTTTTCATATACAGAAGGTAAAATGTAAGATTTTTAGTTTTTGGATGTTTCTGTTTACATCAAGTTCTTAAAACTATGTTTGTAGCTAATTAATTATAAGCAAATTAGCAAATAACTCACTTTACATAGTGGATTGGTCAGCTTTCCTATTGCTAGGACAAGATATCCAACACCCACCCACAACTCTAAAGAAAGATTTGATTTGCTCAGAGTTTCAGAGGTCTCGGTCGTGGCAGGCTGGCTCCAAGGCAGTAACATAATGGTGCAAGGACGTGGTAGAGCAAAACTGCTCAGTTCATGGCAGCCAGGAAGCAGGACGTGCAGTGAAAGCGCCATGGTGAGCTGTATACGCTCCAGAGGCACGCATTCAGCAGCCCACCTCCTCCAACTGGTATTAGTGGCCCGTCTCCTAATAGCTCATTAGACTATGTGCGTTAGTGGATTAGTCACTGCTTGGCGTGCCTCCTTGATCCAGTCACCTCTTCAGGAGGCTTTTAGTCGTGTCAAGTTATAATCTCAATGAGCTGGCACAGACAAGTCCCTTCTATTACAGTCTTGTTTTCCAGAGTGTGTTCTTTGGATTCCTACTTCTAAGAAAGGGTTTTGTTATGAAAAAGTTTGGAAAATTAATACTTCATTTTTGAATAATCAGAGAACAGTTTAGCATAGTAAGGTCTCAGATTAGTCTTTTAATGAAGAGTCTTCTTTCACTTTGTTTAAACTTTGTGTTTCTTATAATAATTTGACCACATACCTCTTTGTTTTCATATAAATACTGCCAAGTGTCTTTCTGTAAATATCATTCTAGAGACAGACATAATGATGCATGCCTATAATCCCAGCACTCCAGAGGTTGAGGCAGTAGGATCACAGGGAGTTTGAGGCCAGCCTGGGCTACATAGTGAGTTCAAGGCCAATCTAAACTATGTAGCCAGACCTTGTCTAGAAGGTAAGAAGGAAGGATGGAAGGAAGGAAGGAAGGAAGGAAGGAAGGAAGGAAGGAAGGAGAAAAGGGAAGAGAAAAGAGACGAAAAGAGAAAAGTTCTAGAAAACAATTTTGGAAGCCTTGTTCTGTGTAGTGGATCCCAAACAGATGGATGACCTAAAGATTCTTCAGCCTCATTACTGGCCTGTCTGAATGGTAACCTTTCAGAGATGCAGAAAAATGCATTACAAAAACCAAAATTCATAAATACTTGTGATGCCCACTTTGGAAGCCAACATGATAACAAATTGTGGAAATCATTCATTATAGTTTCTTTATGACTAAAATCAGTAGTAATTGTTAGTGTTTATGCTTGTACACTGTGCCTGTGTTTTAAATTACTACTAAATTTTGAAAAAAATTTTGTTTTGCTAATCAGGAACCTTTAAAAAATACTTTCTTTATCCATGAAATCACTCTGTAAGCATGAAATCAGTTGTAGGGTATAGTCAAAACTATGCTCTTCTTCGCCTTCATTCATGATAGAAATCCAAAAGCTTTATTTCTTTACTGATTGTAACTTTAGTACAATTTAATACATATTACATCACAATTATGTTACTATGAAAATCTATTCATGTTAATGCATAATTTAAGCCTCCAGGGCCGGGGAGATAGCTCAGTGGCCTCAGTGCCTGCCTGGCAAGTGCAAGGTCCTGAGTTTGATCCCTAGTACGGAAAAAAAAAGATCAGCCTTCTTTTTACTCATCTTATGGTCTCTTGAATAATGCTGAGAATTGTATACTAACTATATAACTGTTAGCTAGCATTAGTGGAGTGGCAGTTACTGCATTTAGACTTACTTGCTTGTTCCATTAAGAAAAACGTAAGTTTTGATCTTCATAGATATTGTACTAAACAATACATAGTTTGAAATACCACATTTCAAAATCTTAATGTCTAAGCTGTAAGTGGACTGATATTTTTTTGAGAAGTCAAACATTGAAAGAAATTAATTTTCTTCACATAGTTCATGGGTATCTATATATTTATCTTCAATAAACCCATCATCATCTATCACAAATGATTGTAACTTTTCAAATATTACTGTAGTGTCTTCAGAGTTTGTTTCTGGTATTTGTGAATGAGAATTTGAATTTTCAGTAAAGCTGTCTTCATAGGCTTCAGCTTCGTGCTCTTCCAGGCGATGGTGATTGTAGCTAAGTAGAAAATTGTACCACATTGGGCATTTGATAGCAATAAAAATGAGGAGCGAAGTCAGCAGTACGGTGACAACAACACCAACAAGAAACACCCAACTTTTTCCAAGAGGTACATGTTCTTGAATGAAAGAAAATAAAAAGAGAGATTTTGTTAAATTTATAAAAATAAAATAATCATAATTTCATGTGCTATTACTGTGCACTATACTGGTATTAGAAATGAGCATATATGGTAGTTTTCTTTAGACAAAAGGCATTAAGCACTGAATAAAAGCTGTTTCAATTTGGTGAAAGAATGTTTTTCTAAAATAACTAAGGTTGAACATCTCTACTTGAAACTCCAAAATGTGCCAAAATCTAAAACATTTTGAGCACAAACATGATTCCACAAGTAGGAAATTCTGTCTGTGACCTTGTATGACAAATCATAACTAAAACCCAGGTCAACTGAAAATATTATCATATATATATATATATATATTTACTACAACATAAATGACTTTTGTACTTAGACTTAATTTCCATCCAATTATGTATATGCAAATATTCCAGAATCTGAAAAAATGTGAAACCTCTACCACTTCTGGTCACAAATGTTTCAGATGAGAGACAGTCAACTTGTACTTATCTTTGCAGATTTTGTTACTCACATAAAAGCATAACTGATTTATACTTGCTAAGAATTATGACTTGACTAAAAGTGAAGATGCAGAGAAGTTGAGTAATGCACAGTAGCATTTGGATGATAACTGAGTCTCAGCTGGGATCTCAGTATTTTGTAAGTTTTTTGTTGTGATGAATTATTCTTTTGCATAGTTTATAGAAATTCAAAGTGGAAAACGATAGTTATATAAGTTTATTTAATCTACTCTCAGCAATATTACTACTCAAAACAAGTACATTACCTGAATTTCTTGTTAAGTTGCTTAAAGAGCTATGAAAAGTTGAGTTGGTAACGGACTGAAAATTTATGTAATGGTCTTCAGTTATCGGCAAAGTAAAGTTTGTGTGGCATTCATCAGTGTAGGGCACTGTTTTAATACTGTAGCACTTCAGGACTTCTGGGTAGTTACACATGGTAATATTCTCATTTTCTAGTGAAAAGAAGGAATAAATGTTAAGATATATTATGGAGAATTAAGAATGGTTAACAACTTCTATAAATATTTTCATCTAGAATTTCTTTTTCTTTTTTTTTTGCAGTACCAGGGATTGAACTCAGGACCCTGAGCTTGCCAGACAAGCACTTATTCTACTGAGCTATCTTCCTGGCCCCTCATCTAGAAATTTTGACCCCTTTTTTGGTGGCACTGTGGTTTGAACCCAGGGCTGCACACATGCTAGATGAGTGTTCTAGTACTGAAGCTATAGCCTATGCCTTTTAAAATTTTTATTGTGGGACAGCGTCGTGCTAAGTTTCCCAGCACGGCCTTGCACAAGTGAAATGCCTGCTTCAGCTTCCTAAGTATCTGGGACTATCAGCATCACCATCATGCTAGGCTAGAAAACTTGCCCACCAGTACTGGGAATTGAACCTAGGTCCTTTACATTAAGCTGTATCTCCATTGCCTTTTGACTAATATATATATAGATATAAATACAGATATAGACACACATATGTTCATCTATATCTATATTTTATTTTGAGACAGGTTGTAGCTATTTTGTTAAATTGCTCATGCTGGGCGTGAACTTGCAGTTCTATCTCAACTTCGTGGTATATTTGCGTAACAATTCAGTGAGGGAATGTACATTCCCCATTCAGTTGTCTTATAAATAAGCATAAATACAGTGTCTGTTTATGGTTTACTTTGTGTTAGTGAAGGTTTTATGATTCAGATTATAATTACAGGGACTGGAGAGATAGCTCAGTAGAATAAGCCCCTGCCTAGCAAGCTCAGGGTCCTGAGTTCAATCTTTGGTACCACAAAAAAAAAAAAAA